CCCCAAAACCCCAAAACCCCAAAACCCCAAAACCCCATTAAAGTAAATATTTTCAGATTTTCGTCAAGATATGGAGCCATTCCAAGGTAAGCTTATCCAACGAGCATAGCAGTCATAAGTTGTGCTTGCTGACTGAAAATGCTTCACAATCGGTCAAAGAGCCAAGTTATTTTAATAAATTTTAGAATTTTTTCAAATTGATGATTTTTACAAAATTTCTGTGTGTGGTGTGGCATCGATGACATCATCGAATTTCGATATAGATAAGATTAATGCTTTAAAGAGATTAAATATTCTCAAGGAACACCTGACCGCTGCCAAGACAAGTAAGCACCCTCCTTAGCTTATTCAGCCACCTGTTATGCGATTAGTAACCTTTAATAGGAAGTGAAGTCTACCAGGATGTTGACACGTCAGAGATTATCAATGAAGAATTTACAAAATCTATCTCTCATTTGGACAGAAAGCATCAGGAAAACATCCTCAAAGCTAGGAACAAGTTCTTAGAATATCAGAAGATGATCAAGAAGCCTGGCTGGAAGCTGGAAAAGGAGATTAAGTACAAAAGCAGTACTGGCAAGCTCTGGAGCAACATTGACAAGAAAACAGGGCTCAATGGTATACTTAGGAAAATTGAAATTGATGTTCCCCATCAACCAGCTTGTGACTTCTTTAAAGATGAAATTAAATTCGCTAAGCTTAATGACAACTTGAAAGAGACGAAGATAGTAGAGGACCTCAAGAACGACTCTTCATATGTGTACCATTGCTTCAAAGGAAATCTTGTAGTTTCTGATAGAGATTTTTCCTTGTTTAAGCACTGATTTACACTACCAGATAAAAGATTCGCTATTGTGAGTTTCTCTGTCGTCCACCCTAAGATGCCTGAGAGAAGAAAGAAGGTGAGGGCCCATGCAGACCTCTCTGTCTACATAATCACTAAAATCGCGGAGAACAAGATCCTTGTTGAAACTATCCAAAATGGGGATCCTAAGGGAATCATCCCTACAGCCCTGGTGAACAACAGAGCTACAAAACAGCTTGATGCTCTTGATCAGATCAAAAGACATCTTGAGAAGACAATTAGCAGATAAATAATGTTAGGATTTTAACCAATAGGTATTATAGGAGTGCTCAATAAGTCAAAGTTCATAAGGGGTTTTGGGGTTTTGGGGTTTTGGGGTTTTGGGG